ACACACACGTGCATACTTATATACACTCACTAAACTTTTATTAATTAGCTTAAACAAGAATATACTATACTTACACATTATCACCTCTTACAATGTATAATCCCAGCACTACTTGCTCAACTCCTTGTGAAGAACTGAACACTCGTTCATGGCTTTCATCCAAAATCAAGTTAATGGTCTGATCAAAACCTTTGAGGGTTCCCTGAAAAAACACACAAAAATAGAACACTCCATTTACCTTTTAAATTTATCATCTTTGCTCCCACAGATATCTTAAACAAGGCAGCAATACTAAGGTACTAGAGAACAGATGCTCTACTGAGGTTTTATTGTTAGGCTTAAACACAAATAGCTGGAGAATGGAACTTTAAAAGTAACAATAAATTTATGAATAAAGTATCTATATTTACTACCGAGTCTTCACAATAAAACCTACAGTAACCTCCAGCATTAAAAGAAGCTTCCCTTTTACAAATGATGGCCCTCTAGACAACTAACTTTGCTATTTCTACACTATTTTAGCCTTCCTTGTATGGAAATTTCCAGAAATCAAATAAATAATTCATTATTTCAAATAACAGAAAAATTTAGATTCTTGTGGTCAACAATAACGAAACCATGCTCAACTTAAAATTTCAAGTGGTATCTCTTTGAAGGAGATTAGCTTGGTTCCACAAAATTACCCAAAAATATACAAACCACATAAAAATTTATGTGCTGCTTCAATATGTTAACATTTTCCCAAACACACAATTGATTTGTGTAATTTACCATCAGTAATTGATTAAGAAATTTAAACTCATGTAAAACACTATCATTCAAACAGTGGCAATATTGATTTATACCATCTAACCATGTAACAATGGGTCATATATAACAATTCCATTCAAATATTTTTGGTAGAAAGTATCTTGTATCACAACACGAAGTTTACCAGATTGACTCCAATCAGACAGAAGATTTGGTGAAGCTAGTATTTTTTTGCTAGAAGTACTGTTTTCTCTTTCCAGAGGCCACATAAAGCTAAGCACAACCAGAAAGATATAATCCTCATGCAATGATCATACTATCAAGGTTAACTCAAAACACAGAAAAATAAAAGACGGGGGGGATACAAGAAAAAAAAAAAAAA